GGGGAGTGTTTTGGTGTTGAAATGGGAGGATTTGGTGAAGATTTGGAAGAGATATGGTAGAGAGAAGGTGTAAAAATGGGGGTTTGGGCGTTTTTGTTCGAGATAGGGTTGGAAATTCGGAGAAGATGAAGTGTTTTGGGGCTGATTTGGGGTTATAATACCCGTATACCCGATCGAGTATGTGCTGGTACTCGGTCGGGTATGTCTGGAAAGTGACCTTTTTGAGCAGTCTGCCTCCTGTACTCGATCGGGTAGGGTATGGTTACCCGGTCGAGTATATCTGGAAAATGATGTTTGTGAGCAGCCTGCCTCCGGTACCCGGTCGAGTATTCTTCCATACCCGATCGGGTATGAGCTCTTTTCTACTTTTGAAGCTTGTACTCGGTCGAGTGTGGGAGTCAGTTTTCTTCCACTTTAGCATTTCTATACATACCCGACCGGGTGTAAAGTGATACCCGATCGGGTATTCCTTGTTTTTCAATTTTTGAGTGCTTCCTCGATCGAGTAATGCCCGGTCCCTTTTCTTTTTGGTCATACCCGACCGAGTATAAGGTTGTACTCGATCGGGTATGTCCCCAGATGCTCCACAACCTGCATTTTTTATTTCTTTTCTTCCAAAAACCCGTGATTAGTGCCCTCCCTCACTGATCTCTCAAATAATTAAACAAAAAATGAATTCTAAATAAATAAAAAAATGAATTATACACACTTAAATAAAAAAATAAAATAAACTTGGGTTGCCTCCCAAGTAGCGCCTTAGTTAACGTCGTGGCACGACGTTATTCATTTTTTTTTTGGTTTTGTTTTATGTGGGATCATGAGCATCCCTTGTTTCTCTTTTCAAGGCCCTATTTGGCCATTTTTTATTTTTATTTTTCGGCCTTTTCCAGTAAGGCCGGGGTTTCTTTCTCGAAAGACATCTGATTTTATCCGCTTCTTTAAAAAACAGCGGTTCTTGTGGTTCAACAACATGTAAAGAACACAGAGTTGGATTTTGCATTTGTTTTTTCGTAGAGTCCAAGATGTTGAACTCCACTTTTTGATCATCGAACTCTAAAGTTAGTGAACCACTAGAAACGTCAATTTTCGTTTTTGCGGTCTTCATGAAGGGTCTACCCAAAAGGATGGGTGTTGTTTGGTCATCAGTTCCCATTTCAAGGACATAGAAGTCAACAGGAAAGACCATATTTTCTACTTCTATTAGCACATCTTCTACTACACCCTTCGGGTAAGTACTAGAATGATCTGCCAATTGAATCACTACACCTGTTTGATGTAATGGGCCAAGTTGTAGAGTTTTATAAACAGAATAGGCGATGACATTTATTGATGCCCCTAAATCCAACAAGGCCTTGGGAAATGTGGTGTTTCCTATTTTGCAAGGGATAGTGAACATGCCTGGGTCGTTACATTTTTCGGGGAGTTTCCTCTGAAAAATGGCCGAGACGTGTTCACTAACTCTAACCTCTTGTTTCCCTTTCAATTTATCTTTTCTTTTTGTTTTGCATAATTCTTTTAAGAATTTAGCAAAACGGGGGACATTTTTCATTAAGTTAAGAAGCGGAATGTTTACCTCACACTTTGCGAAGGTTTCATAGATGTCGGCATCTTTTTCTAGCTTCTTTGTCTCCTTCAGTGCCTCAGGAAACGGGATTTCTTGTTCATATGATGAGGGTGTGGGAAGCTTGGTTTCTGTGTTTTCCTCCTCCGGTGGGACAACTTTTCCAGGGTCCACACCCTCAGTCTCTTCATCGTTCTCTTTTGCCTCTTTCAACGTTGCACCACTTCTCAACGTTATAGCATTCACATGTTGTCTCGGGTTTTGCTCCGTTTGAGATGGGAGTTTACCCGAGTCTTTTGTTTCAAGTCGGTTCACGGCATTTGCAATTTGACTGACTTGGTTTTCCAAATTCTGAATGCTGGATTTGGTCTCGTGCTGAAATTGAACCATGTATTGTTGCATGGTTGAGACATTTGAGGTGAGTGCTCGGATCATGTCCTCGGTGGACATACTTGAGCTTGACGTCTGGCCTTGGTGCTTTGGGAAAGTTGGTGGCAAGGGCTGATTTTGAGGATTCCCATACCTCAAATTCGGGTGATCTCTCCACCCAGGATTGTAGGAGTTAGAGTGTGGATCATACCTCTTTTGACCTTGAAATCCCAAAGCATTGACTTGCTCGGAATTCTCTTCTTGTAGTGTTGGGCAAGAATCGATGGGGTGCCCCTGTGTCGAGCATATGCCGCAGACCTTGACTTCTTGGTGTTTTGGATTTAAAAGGAAATCCTTTACCAAAGAAGTCAAGCCGGCTACTTGACTTTCCAACGAGATGTTGGATTCCGCTGCCATGACCCGTTTTGATGATGACCTCCCATTGTAGTGTCTAGAATTCTCGGCCAACTCCGAGATGAGGTTCCTAGCTTGGGAAGGGGTTTTGTTGACAATTCCCCCTCCAGATGCTGCGTTCACCAGGCGTCTATCTTGCTCCGCAAGACCGTCATAGAAGTAGAGGATGAGGTCTTGCTCTGTGTAACCATGATATGGGCAGCTAGCACACAATTTTTTAAAACGCTCCCAATACTCATATAATGTCTCATCATCTTTTTGCTCGATGTTGCTTATTTGTTTTTTCAAAGATGATGAGACAGATACAGGGTAGTACCATTCTAGGAAGCATTTTTTCATTGACGTCCATGTATCTATACTCCCTGAAGGGACATAGAATAGCCAATCCTTCGCCGTGTCTTTGAGGGAGAATGGGAAAGCCCTCAATTTGATTTGTTCTTCCGAGACACCACTGGGGCACATGCTTGTGCACACAATATGGAACTCAGAAAGGTGTTTGTTCAGATCTTCTCCTCTTAGACCATGAAAGGATGGCAGTAGATGTATGAGCCCAGATTTTAGCTCAAATGTATTACCTTCATCGAGTGTAGGGAAGGTAATACATAGTGGTTGTTGATTGAGATTTGGAGCAGTGAGCTCCCGTAGTGTTCTTGTTTCAAGAGCCATTGTGGTTGGCTCTTCGGTGTCGCTAGAATGAGAACTAGCGCTGGATGAATCTCTTATAGATGATTCCTCCGAGTCGGTATTAGAAAATCTACTTTTCAACCGCTCGAAAGTTTGTTCTATTTCTGGGTTTGTTTGATATGTGATTTTGTTTATGGAGCGATGTTTAACCATAAACTCCACTAAGCTCAGAAATAGAAGAAATAAGAACTCTTTATATTTTTTATTTAATTTTTTTTTTGATTTTTCTTGATATGAAATAAAAGAAAAATTAATTGCCTTTCCCCGGCAACGGCGCCAAATTTGACGTGCACTTGTCGTTAGGTGCACTCAAAATAATTAATCAATACAACACTAATACGTAGTATAGTGTAGTAAGGTTCGTATCCACAGGGAAAGGAATACATTTCTTTTATAAAAGTAGTAACAAAGGGCGGTTTAGATTTGTTTGTTTTAACAACACTAAGATAAACAACCTATATGAGTTTAATTCAATGAGATGAAGACTTGGTTTTGCTTTTATCCACTTAATGAAATGTTCGTCGATCCCGGTTATATCTTTAACTATCTTCCTCTCGAATACTCAATCGAGGAGTATATCCAGTTCATCGAGGGTAGTTATTAATAACGAGATGCGTTCATTAATAAAACTTACTATCGAGTCAATATAGAACAAGCGTCGTATATTAACTTGATAGTAGCAATAAACTTAAGATGAAAACGATTGAGATTGATAACCTCAACACAAGCGGTTTATTGGTTTAATCAATATAATTAATTCCCCTTGGCATATTAACCATGAGATGCATGCATTAATATTCCAAGTTTACTACCGTTGAAAGAACCGGATTAATAACAAGCGTATTAACCGATTGATTCTAGTAATAATTAATATGAGAAACAATACTAGTTGATACTTTAAGTAATGTTTAAGATATTAACATGAAATATGAATAGGAATTAATTAATACTCAAGGAAGAATATTAAAATATATGAATCCTACTATGATTAATATCAAGATGTTAACTAATTGTCATCTTAGTAACACTCCCCAATATTATCATAGAGGAAGAAATAGTTATTACTATAACCAATGTCAAGATGTTAACTAATTGTCATCTTAGTAACACTCCCCAACTTTGATATAGAGATAGTATTTTGAAAGAAAGAATTAATATTCAAGGAAGAAGATTAAAGAAAATAACTCACAACTTACAAATTCATTAAGCTTCAAAGTAGCAAAACCAAGATGGAAGAGTTTAGCTCCTCATTTGGAGACTAAACATGATGAAAAATATAAAGAAAAAGCTATTCTATACCGAGCTTAGATGTATAAAGGGATTGGATATCTTTTTGTGAAGGAAAGGAGGTGTATTTATAGGCTTTTGGGAGCTAATTCGGGTACTCGATCGGGTATATACATGGTACCCGATCGAGTATGTGTGTAAAACTCGATCCGAGGCATACTCGACCGGTTTCAGGCTATTTTCTAAGAGTATACCCGATCGAGTATATATGAATACCCGGTCGAGTATGCTTAGAAAATGGTATTCGGACCATACTCGACCGATCTTCGTTTGAAATTCAAAGGCATACCCGATCGGGTATGTCGGTCTACTCGATCGGGTATCGACATAAAATCGTGGCCGAAATCTTCCCTGCATGTTCCCTTGTCTTCGGATCTGATCCGATTTGAAGTTCTAACCTAATACCCGATCGAGTATAGCTAATACTCGACCGAGTATATGCCAAAATTCAGGATCTTCTTTTGTTTTTGAACTTTTGCACCTCCTTTTCACTTTTTGGGTTCACCAACTGTACTTCGAGTGACCAAAACCTGCTTGAGCTCAGAATATATCTAATCTAACCTATTTACGAGAATTTAACAATCTAATCTATTACACCAAAAGTGTGTAATTTCCAAAGTAAAAGTCAAGCAAAACTAATTAAAAACATAAACATAAATATGGAAATTACGAACGTATCAACTCCCCCACACTTAAACCTTTACTCGTCTCGAGTAAGATCAAATGTTTACAAGTATCAATGTTTGTCCAAAAGTTCCACAGTTCAACACAATACAAACACAAAGACCACCAAGGATGACAAAGAAAAATGAGTTTTAAACTCAAATTACAAAAGAGCATCTTGGGTTTAATGGCCTCCTAGTGTTATCTTCTTTTCTCCTCCTCTCTTCTTTTTTATCTTGAATCTTCTTATTCTTCACAAGGATACAATGAGTGCCTGCAAGAACAAACATTTCTCTCATATCTCTCATTTTGCCTAGGAGCCTTTTCAGGTTTTCATCCTAGCACCTCTTTTCATTTTCCATTCTCTCCAACTCACTCATTTTTTTATAAGCCTTTTTTGCTTAGATTGCCCATTTTGTTGGGTTTTCAACCTAACTAGCATTTATTTTCTTTTGTTTTTTTTGTTTGCTTTTTTTTTGTGAAAAAGTTCAAAAGAATTACATGCATAGTGCTAGGTAGAAATGAAAATTACATACCATCATGAGTGTCTCCCCCGCACTTGAATCAAGCACTGTCCCTAGTGCCCGCCTTCTCCTCCGTAGTAGCTCCCTCCAAAACCGCTCCCTTGGCCACCATCTCCCATGTAGGTGTCCCTTCGCCCATGTGATGGCCCCCCGGTACTTTCCTTCTACACTCTCCCACCATGTAGAAGCGATTCCTTCAAGCAAACGTGAAGCAACAGTCAACTTCATGTCGGGTGTGACCTGCATATCCATTGATGCATCCTTCACTTTCTTGATCCAATCGGCGGCAACAGTAATGTCACTGGTGCCGTCGAAGGATTTACACCCCAAGGCCCTAGCCTCCTTGAGGTACTTGGAGATTCTCACACAAAACCCTCCTTCACGCCCACCTTGTGACGCCGCTGGAGTGGCCCTTGAAGCTCCCCGGCTTCCTTGAACCGAACCACCACGAGAACCGTGCCTTGCTTGGCGCCTCAGGTCTCTCCTTAGTTTCTCTTTTTGATACCACTCAAGCAATTCGCCCATTTGAGCGAATCGGGCATCACTCTCATTGTTGTCTTCCTCGTCAGTGTGGAAGTCACCCCCGTCATACGGGGTCTCCTCATGCTCCGTGCCGGGAACAAAAGTCGAGTCATAGTCGTCAGTGTTAGTTTCAAACACCGAGCTTATGTGGCCGTCGCTCACTATTTGGGCCCGGTGGCCCCCACAGCACACTCGGCCTCCTCTTCTCCTCCGAGATGCAGCCCGGCTACCCCTCATGGATGTTACTGGTGCCTGGCCCCTCGGATTGTTCCTCGTTGCCATTCGCCTACCCTCCATTTCTGAAATAAGATTTGGACGAGTCGTTAGACTCCTATCAATGTCAATTGACGGAAGAACGTTATAGACACGTATTTGCCCAAGTCACTGCCATACCAATTGTTAAGGGTACCATCTTAACAATTAGAGACCTTGCAACCTAGGTAACAATAGTTCTATGAACGTCAAAATACAATGCTCATGGTTTTCGGTAAAAAATCTTTTTTGCAAAATCTCTCGTGAGAGGTTGATTACATAGTTTAGAACTGAGATGGTTCTGATACTACTTAATTGTCACGCCCCAGACCACATCTAAGCGCGTGTACAACCGCTGTATGACCAAGTGATGTCACTTGCAAGTCAACGTGACTTAATCATACAAGGCGTCTATGAACATAATCCATCCATACTCAGTAGTAAACATACATAACAACATCACATTCAACCCAATGAATAGCGGAAATATTCAACGGTAAAGCATGGGCCACAACCGGCCAAAACATGGGCTCACAGGCCCAAAATAGTTTATAGTAAAACAAATATCCATGAGCAAGTGTTTGGTAGTTTGAGAGGAAATAAGGAAGCACGAACCACGTCTTCCTTGATTTGAGTTCACCCGTAAGAAGGTGCAGGTAGCAAGCCCTAGCTTCAACCTGAAAATAGTGGGGGGCCCCGAAGGGGTCAGTACAAGTACCGAGCGAGTAGCAGGCTAAATATAGAATAACTAGTGTTTCAAGTATAAGATCCAAACATAGGGTGATATTTATATAAATAATCTTTCCCCCCAAGTTAAGAAATACTTAATAGTACATATACACTTGGAAAATACCCGATCCGTAGATCACCGTTTTATTTGGGAAAATAGTAATAGTCAATATTCTTGACTAAAAACCCCAACCCACCCATATGCCTATGAGTGTATAGGACTCCTCCTTGTCCATATTTATATACCATAACCTATGAGTTTTGAGGATCATAATCCTTGGGTACTCCACCAATTTATAATCCGAGTGTTAAGGACTTTTCGTCCTAGGGTCCAGGGTCCTCCACCAATTTACAATCCGAGTGTTAAGGACTTTAAGTCCTAGGGTCCTCCACCAATTTATAATTTGAGTGTTAAGGACTTTAAGTCCTAGGGTCCTCCACCAATATATAATCCGAGTGTTAAGAACTTTAAGTTCTAGGGTCCTCCACCAATATATAATTTGAGTGTTAAGGACTTTAAGTCCTAGGGTCCTCCACCAATATATAGTCCTATGATCAAGCTCCTATCAACTTAGATAGAGACTGTATCATATTTATTTATTCATAACTAAATCAATACATAAAGCTTATGTATCACAATCCATGCAAAGCCATGCATTTATATAAATTTATAATTAATTAATACTAACCGGTATTAATTAATCCATTATCCATCGGTCAACGTTTCGTTGACCGCCATTTCAAGCCTTGTACGTATCAACTTAATCATCATATAATTAAGTTAATAATATTCCTTTGTGCTTCTCTTACACCTCAAGCAAAAATGCATTTTATATAATTCCTCATATCATATTTCATGCATAACAATTATTTCCTTTCATACAAACTTAACCATGTTGGCTAATCCCATGTTTAAATACCTTTTAAACATAATTATGAACACATATAACTTTTATTTAGGTAATCTCATAATTAACCCAAAAGTTATAAGATATTAAGCCGTCCACTCACCTTAAATGAGCTATAGTGTGTTCTACGCTCCTCGGTTGAACTCCGGCGAAACTCCGGCGAAACCCCGGTGAACTCTAGAAATACCTTAGTTAAGCTCCTAACATGGTTTTATCATCACAAAACTCATATCAATACAAATAACCTCTAAAAGGTTATTTTACGGCGAACCGGTTGTTTTGGCATCTAAGTCCGTTCTTGGACTTGGACTACCTATTCCAACCCCTCATTCTACACTTCAAAACATGTAGAAAAATCCTAGGGTCTCTTCATATGATGTATTAGTCATATGATAATAAAAATGTGGAAGAAAATTACTTAAACATCTTCTCACCTCTATTACCAAGGGTTTTCTCTATTTTTGCGATTTCTTCTCCTTCCTTGAGCTTCTTGCTTGCTTGAGCTCTCCTCAACAATGGAGGATGATGGGTGGAGAGGTTCTTGCTCTTAATTGGGGTGTGCTGGCCGCAGGAATGAAGGAGAGAGGGTGAGGATTACCTCTTTGTCTCATTGAACAAATGAGTGTGGATGGGGCCACCTCATTTTTGTTTGATGTCATATTGATCAAATCACCATTCCCACCCATGTTCCATTCTTTACTCCAACCGGCCAAACCCTTTATTTGGGTGACCAAATTCGTGGGTTGGCCGCCACCCATGTGGGAGGTCAACCCTTTTTGTCCAAAAGTGTACAATCGATCCCGAAAGTTGTATTTTTCGGACTGTTTTAATTATATTTTATTTTATCGGGTCAAATAAAATATATTACATGTTCCCCATCATTATGGACTCTTGGAATGAGTATTCATTCCCCATCTTTAATTTAGACATCTCCGAAATCCGTTTCGGGTTGTTATCTGATAAATTATCGATACCGGTAATTGGGCCTCATTTGATCGACGGGTCAACCCTATGCCCTTCCTATGGTCCAACTAAAATATCTACCACAATATACATATTATCTAGACCAAGATGAATATAATATGTGGTCCCGGGTTTATCGGGTGGTCCCTGCTCCCGATGTGGGCCCCACGTGCAATTTACTATTCACGCGAACGTAATAACAAAAATTTACAACCTCGTAAATTCACGAATCATTATTCAAGGTTTATTACATGATTTACTAAAATTAAATATACTTGAGAACGGTGTTACAATAGATTACTAATTGCTAATTATTAATGTAACTCATATTGTTTAATGGGCATGAATCATTAAATGTGTTATGGGAGGGAAAAGCAAGGTGATACACCTTGTTACTTTATTATTATAGATAGATATATTACTATTATTATATTACTATTATTATTATGATTATTTTGAATTGAAAATATTCTCATTACTCTATATTATATTACTATTTACTACTACTATTATAGATTACTAATTGCTAATTATTAATGTAACTCATATTGTTTAATATATGTGTATGAATCATTAAATGGGTTATTGGAGGGAAAAGCAAGGTGATACACCTTGTTACTTTATATTATTATTGATATTTTAATACAGTTTTTCATACTTTAATTAGATATATATATCAATGTTACAAGAACTGAACCGGACCGGCCGGTTCAACCCGGAAAGTTGCAAACCGGGCTCAACTCTGGTCCGGTAGGGAGTGAACCCGCTAATGTACCGATAACCGGATTTACCCGGTGAACCGCGCAGAACTGGCCCGGAATCGCCCGCGAGAAATGAAGGACGACACCAAACCAATGGACTACTTCAACTTCTTATCAATATATGCGTTTTATCTAGTGTCATACTCTTTCGACATATTTGTTGACTTTAAAAAGTGTTGTAATTGTTATTCTGCAAATAATAATCATCATAGTAAAAATAAGAACACACATTATCCCTATTATTAGAAGTAAAAACATGAATACAATATTTTCAAATTTTGTGCAAAGTGATACATTCATATTTATTGTCTTTAATTTCAAATACATTTTAAAAATGGTTAAAATTTGTATATTTTAGAACAAGTGTTTTATTTTTCACGTTTTTCAAGTATTATCAATACTAAATTATGATTGAAAATTATATTCTCCTTAAAAATTTAATTTTGATATTTCCAAATTTTATGTTTTTATTTTAGTCAATGTTGACCGGGTTTATTAACCGTTGCCCGGGTTGACCCTCCGGGTTGACCCTCCGGGTCCGGGCTGACCCTTGACCCGGTCATTGCTCCGGGTCACCTTCCGGTCCGGTTTTTACAACATAGATATATATGTGTTCGCCTCCCTTAACTTTTACTTTTCAAAATTAATATATAGCCTTACATCATGTAAAACTTAATTAGAGATTTAAAAGAAGAAACGTCTAAAATAATTTACATACTTAAGTAAATAAACAATAGAATAGAACAACTCTGATCATTGTTTAAGACTTGGGATATTTATTATATAAAAATTCCTAGTTTTGTAATCTTTAGTTATCTTTATTAGATAATTAGTACTCGATTTTGTAAAATATCAAATGATATTAACTATCAGACACACTGGTTAAATAGTTTTTAGATCATGAGAAACATACACAAACAATTTAAGCAAAAAATACCACCGGGAACCACCACAAATTGAGGTGGCCGGACGAGGTCTTGTTCGGCCTGGCCGGACAGGAAGATTAGGTTTTTTTATTTAATATATAGGGTGCGATTCCGGTGAGAACGATGCTTAACATGAGAACGTGAGAACACTCACATTTAAATCAACATGGTGCACAATGGAACTATTCTGTTGCACATTTTCAATTTGCTCGAATTAAGCCTATTGTAATAAACACGGTGGCATTTTGGTAAATATTGTGAAAATGTGAAAATGTGCAATATACAAGCTTCGTTGTGCAACACGTTGGGGTAAATGTGGTGTTCTCACGTTCTCACGTTAAGCATTGTTCTCATTTAATCTTTATTTTATATATATATATATATATATATATATATATATATATATATATATATATATATATATATATATAATGTATATATATGTACTCGAGTATACATGAGTTCATATATACGTTCAATTTGATTACCCAGTAACAACATAAAATTACATGTTCTTGGAATGAGTTCAATGGAATACTGAGAAAGAGTCGGAGCGATCACAAATTCACAACCTGTCCATCAGTTTATATGTTGAAAACTAACTAACGTATAGAGCATCAGTTGGCTGACCTGGATAACAATATTTTATTTAATAAAATAAAAGCCACATATACACTTAATATGGGCTTTAGACTTTATGCATTGGAGGGGTTTTTAGTAGCTTAACGTCCGGCTAGTCCTCTTAATTAATTGACATTTGGCATGTTTTACTTGGACTAGATATTCGAGCATTGTGGTTGCTCTAAACATCTAAACACTTCTAGCCCCCTTCTATCACATCCCACCTCCACCAAATAACTCGGTTTTAAGTTATTTTACTTTTTCGTCTATTTCTATTGATAAACCCAATAAGCATAATAAACAAAATAAAAAAGGGACCAAAACGACTTAGGATGTTTTTACTTGTACCGCTTTCATTCCCAGACCGGACTAGATAATATCTGACCAGATTAGAGCAGAACAGATCAGGCCACACTTCAATAGTTATAGAATACACAGAGACTAGTCATTTACCGAACCAGAGTAGATCAGACCAGCCCAGACCATAAAATTGCAGTCCAATGTGAAAACATCCTTATTTCTTATAGAGAAAGGGTTCTAAATAGGACCAAAATATACTCAATATACAAAAAATGGCAAAAATATCACCTATTGACTTTGAATGGACAAAACTATGACCACTTCCCACAAAAAGATGACTTCTTTAAAAAACAAAAGCCCAGCCTATCGATCATCTCAGCATCATCTTCTTCGCCCAGGCATCATCAATTTCACAGCTCTCTCTTGTGACGCAGAAGCATCAACCATCTTCTCTCGACCTGCAACTCTCCTTCTTCGCCTACCAAGAGGTGACCACCAGCACACGCGACACCGACGAGAAGTGGCGGTGACGGCCAGAGACGCTGACGCCAACTAGCTTCATCGCCCTCTTCGATGCTCCTCTTCGTCGTCTTATGTTCGCTGGCGAAGTTGATGTTTAGAGTTTGGAGCAGAGATGGGTAATAGAATTATTATAGGCTCAGTATTGTATGTTACATTAAACTCTCTTTATTATAAAATATAAATATATCTGCCAGGGCTCCTTAGAGAGCATCATGTTCTTTATTCTCACATGGTATCAAGAGCATATTAAAAACCTAATATATTTTTTTCGGTCCTCCTTCTCTTTCTACACGTCACCGCCAAGTACGGCGTTACCCTAGCCGCCACAGCAGGATGAGTTCATCAGCCGTCATCTCTTCCGCAGCGCCCACCTCCGCCGTCTTCAGCTCGTTAGCCACGGTCAGCACCACAGCAGTCACCGGCGCTCCTATCTCTATCGGAACGTAGCCGGTCATGAGCTCCGTTGAGTCCGCGGTGACCTTCTCCTCTAGTTTTGCATCACCCTGCCAGACTTCTATGCCTTATTCCCTATTTCAAAATATCCCACCAGTGTTTCCACGGTCGGCACCATCTCCGGTGCAGCGAGTATCGCTTGATCCGCCACCATTCACGGCCGCTCCTTTTTCCGGACCCACGTTCGTCGGCTCTCCTGGGGTTTCCTCCACCCTACCACCGATTCGAACAACACAGGGCAGCACCAACGGATCTCCTCTGTCCGACTTAGCTCAGACTATTTCCCACGTCGCTACCAACGTCACAAATATTGTTACTACCAAACTTCTGGCGGTGGAAGATTACACTACAGGGCGCACTCAGTTTGAGTCATTCCTTGTCTCGCAAGGTCTTCTCGGCATGGTAGATGGCTCCATTCAGGTACCCCCTGCTTATTCCATAGACATGCTTAACCGTCAAATTCTCAATCCCGAATTTTCAACCTGGCTACGCATTGACCAAACAATTCGTTCATGGTTATTTGCCACGCTATCTCGTGATATTCTCATTGATGTTCGGGATTTAAAACATTCTTGTGAAATTTGGGAACGGTTAGAGAATCGTTTTATGTCAGCCAGTTTGGCCAGATCTATGGAATTAAAGCGCTTATTTTCTCAAATTAAAAAGAAACCTGATCAGTCTATGGATAATTATTTACGGGAGATTAAAACTTTGGCGGATGATCTTGCTACAATTAATTGTCCTGTCTCTCCTCGTGAATTACTCAAATCTACTATTATGGGGTTGGGACATGAGTATGAATCTTTGTTCACTGATGTCTCGTTGTTTCCTCACAATTTTCCTTTTGAGTCACTGCGCAATCATATTTATGAGCTAGAATAGCGGGTTCTCTATCTCCACTCCCAGGAGTCATCTTCTATACACCAGGCTTTTGGCGCCGTTGCTTCGTACCCTGGACAGCCGACTGGCCAGCAGGCGGGCCAGCAGCCGCATGGGTTTCCGCAGCCACAAGCAGCGCCGCAACGTCCACAAGGCCAGCTGCAAAGTGGCCGCAGTCACGGCAGGGGACGCGGTGGCCGTGGGTGCGGACGAGGCCAGCAGGGAGTGCACTACGGACAGCCAGGATTTTGGTATCCGCAGCACGGGCAGCCGGGTTAT